AAAAATGATATCCAACGTTACGAAATCCTGTGTTTGAAGTTTGTAGTTTAGCTAGATCCTTCCCTGAATGGCTTTACTGGGTCCGGGCCTGAGATGTATGATAACTCAGGACGTTCACTATATCCTCAAATTTGGAGACAACTAAAAATTCCTAAGTGGATTGACTACATTTTTACTACGGTAACTTGCACTTAGAGACTTTCGTGGGAGCCCGTGGCTATCTAGGACCCAAGTAGATGCAGTGTTCAGGGAAAAGTTCTAAGCGGTTAATTAGATGGCATCTTCGAAGATTCATGTTTCTTTTTGCAGTGCGTTTCCTAAATGAAAAATTTATGCAGTCGACACATGTCAATTTAGTATTTTGCGAAGTGTGAGAAACGTTTTTTACTCCTGCTTTTATGCCCGTGGTACTTGTCTTTTCTTCACCTAGGATAATTAAGATAATATGTATCCATCCATAGACTCTTCATGGACTCCACGCCACTCCTAACTTTTTGCGGTGGAATCGGTTCCGGTCCCGGGATCATTTGCGGGGACGTACAAAACGCGCCGACACACGAGGGTTCACGAGAGTCGTGTTGTCAGCGCGTGACTTGGTTCAAATGGACCAATCAGAGTTGAGGATGAAAGCAGCTACTTGACCCTTGCGTAACGGCTGTTGGCGCGGACCTGCTCACCAGCACATCAGGAAAGCTGACGACGCTAACTTTAATCCAAATGTTTCGCTCTTCGCGAGTCTTTCGACTGTTTAAGCACACGCATGTGCAGTGAAATTTATTGGGCTTTATGGAACTGTGGGTTTTATTGCGATTCAGGACTTTTCCTGTTGAAGAGAGAGTGATTTGTGGAGTGACGTCTGGCCAGCAATCGATGAAGTGGTCTGCCTTTTCGAATAACTCCACTGAACGGCGTCAGAATGGTTTTAAAATCGGCACAAGAGACAGGTACGCGACACGTTTGAGATAGGAAAACTTTATTTCAAATGGGATAGTTATTTACACAGTGATTTTCCCATAGAATTCTCTATATACACAAGCTGTCGCATACACCACGTATTTTGAACTCGGGAAGCCTGTGGCCGAGACAGAAAATTGCTTAACGCAATGTTTGTCTAAATATCTCATCCCGCGACTGTTCGTCACAATTGTTACGCCAAGTGCTGGATCAAGCTGGCTGAAATGGAGTCGATATTTAGTTCTCGCAAAAATTGCAAAGACTTTTTCTGCCCTTCTCCGAGGGTGGCAAAGGGTTTTTGCGTGACGCGTGATCGCCCCAAAATTTTAATACCAGCGTGATGCGTGATTGAGACCAAATTAGCCACGCAACCCGGGACAGGACATCATAACGTGATGCGTGATTTGCTATTTTACAAGCACGTGACGCGTGATTTACCAATTAGATTTCCGTGA